AAAATAGAATTCAAATAAGGATATTTTTTAAAAGAAGAAAAAAAGAGAAGAAACTGGCAACCCAAGTGGAAGATCATCATTAGAATATATAGAAGGAGGGGCTCCTGGGTGGCTCAGTCGGTTGAGCGTCTGCCTTTGGCTCAGGTCATGATCCCAGTGTCCTGGGATCAAGCCCCACATTGGGCTCCGTGCTCAGCAGGGAGCCTGCTTCTCCCTCTCCCTCTGCCTGCCTGTCTGCCTACTTGTGATCTCTCTCTCTCTGTCAAATAAATAAAATCTTTAAAAAAAAGATATAGAGGGAAAGTACTAATTAAAATAGCCAAAAAAGGAACTACAAAGGCAGATATTAAAGAATGTAGACTATTAATTCCTTGCTTTCTTCACCCTGGTGCTACCCTTAAGAAGCATGGGGAAAGTAGAATGGAAATTAGAAATAAAAGTCACAGAGAGAAAATATTCATAAATGCAGAAAAGACATCTTTGTGGTATGATGGTAAGAGCATAGGCTTTAGAATAAGATCAAAGATGAAATCCAGTTCCTGCTATTTATTAGCTGTATGTTCTTGGATAAATTATTTAATTTCTTCCAGCCTTGGTGATTCATCTCTAAATTGCCTATGTCACTTAATTGAAATATATTTTAGGAAGATATGTTATCAAAGCATGAAAATTAATTTAAGTAAAATGCTACTGCTGTACTTAAATATTGACTGTTAACTTATGGGGGAAAGCACTTATTTGTAACACCACACTCATTCTAAAGAGTATTATACCCATGAAATGGGTGGTATTTTGGAGGGATTAGGTAGTAAGGGAAGAGGGGGAGGTATATATTGGTTCTATGTGCCTGTGTTTATATGTGTGTGTATCTTAGAGCAAAAGTATTATTAAAAAGCATTGACAGTGGAGGACAGGGAGGAGCAAGATGGCGGAAGAGTAGGAGACCTGGGTTTCGTCTGGTCCCAGGAATTCAGCTGGATAGGGATCAAACCATTCTGAACACCTACGAACTCAACAGGAGATCAAAGAAAAGAATAGCAGCAACTCTCTGAACAGAAAAGCGACCACTTTCTGGAAGGTAGGACATGCGGAGAAGTGAATCCGAGGCGATATTCGGGAAGATAGATGGCGGGGGAGGGGGCCTCTGTCGGCCGCTTCTGGCAAGTGATGGAGCCCCGGAGCACAAAATCAGAACTTTTAGAAGGCTCCGCTGAGGGACGTTCTCCAGTGGCTAAGCGGGGATTAGAACCCTCGTGGGAACAGTGTAGTCTCAGGACCCTCGGGGTCACAGGAAGACCGGGGGTGCCTGAGTGCGGCAGAGCTCCCAGGTATCAGAGCAGGGAAGCCGGCTGCAGAGACGGAGCCCAGGCGCGGGCTCTCAGCTCGGGGTTGCCATAAACTGTGATCCGCGGCACAGTCGGGCCACTACTCCTCCAGCAGGGACCCAACAAGCGGCAGATCCGGGGAGACCCCCCTTCCTCCCCTGGAAGGAACGACCTGGGAGTGCACTGCAGGGACCTACTGGGTTTGGAGACTCCACACGGGGTCAGGTGCCAGAGATAGAGATGCTTGGTCACAGGCCGGGTGAGCACTGAGTGCGGCCGGAGATGGAGGAGACAGGAGTGATTGACTGCTTTTCTCTGGGGGCACACTGAGGAGTGGGGCCCCGAGTTCTGAGCTCCTCCAGGGCGGAGATTGGGAGGCTGCCATTTTCACTCTCCTCCAAAGCTGTACGGAAAGCTTGCAGGGAACAAAAGCTCCCGAGAGCAAATCTGAGCAGATTACTTAGCCCAGACGGGCAAGGGCGGGTCAATTCCACCTCCGGAAAAGACATTTGGGAACCACGGCAACAGGCCCCTCCCCCAGAAGATCAGCAAGAACGGCCAGCCAAGACCAAGTTTACCGATCAATGAAATGGCAGAACTCCAGCACTAGGGGAATACTGCACATAGAATTCATGGCTTTTTTCCCATGATTCTTTAGTCTTTCAAAGTTATATTTTTTAACTTTCTTTTTCTTTCTTTTTTTTTTATTTTTTCCCTTTTTCAACCAACATCTTATCAATTCCTTTTTTAAAAAATCTTTATTTTTCATTTTTAGAGTCATATTCTATCCCTTCATAGTAGTTAACCTTATTTTTGGTATATATATGTAAGTTGTTCTCTCTTTAAAATTTTGGAATATAGTTTCTTCTAATAGACCAAAATATACCCTAAATCTCTAGTGTATGGCTTTATTCTAGTCTCCTGCCTGATCACATTCCTCCCCCCCTTTTTTAAAAAGCCTCTTCTTTCTTTTTTCAACCAACTTCTTCTCAATTCCTTTTATAAAATCTTGTATAATTTTCACATTTACAGTCATATTCCATCCCTTCATCATATTTACCCTTATTTTTGTACATATATAAGTTTTTCTTTCTTTAAAATTTTGGGAGGCACTTTCTTCTAACAGACCAAAATACACCCAAATCTAGTATGTGGCACTGATCTATGCATCAGGCTGATCATATTTAATCATATTCTGTTTTCTTTTTGTTTTTCTTGTTTGTTTTTATCTTTTTTTTTTTTTAATCTTTTTCCTTTCTTTCCCTTTCTTTTCCCACAGTTTCAGGTCTCTTCTGATTTGTTTAGTATATATTTTTTCTGGGGACGTTTTTACCCTGTTAGCATTTTGTTCTCTCATTCATCTGTTCTCCTCTGGACAAAATGACAAGATGGAAAAAATCATCTCAAAAAAAAGAACAAGAGGCAGTACTGACTGCCAGGGACCTAATCAATACAGGCATTAGTAAGATGTCGGAACTAGAGTTCCGAATGATGATTTTAAAGATACTAGCTGGGCTTGAAAAAAGCATGGAAGATATTAGAGAAACCCTTTCTGGAGAAATAAAAGAACTAAAATCTAACCGAGTCGAAATCAAAAAGGCTATTAATGAGGTGTAATCAAAAATGGAGGCTCTAACTGCTAAGATAAATGAGGCAGAAGAGAGAATTAGTGATATAGAACACCAAATGATGAAAATAAAGCTGAGAAAAAGAGAGATAAACAACTACTAGATCATGAGGGCAGAATTCGAGAGATAAGTGATACCATAAGACGAAACCATATTAGAATAATTGGGATTCCAGAAGAAGAAGAGAGAGAGGGGCAGAAGGTATACTGGAGCAAATTATAGCAGAGAACTTCCCTAAGTTGGGGAAGGAAACAGGCATCAAAATCCAGGAGGCACAGAGAACCCCCTCAAAATCAATAAAAATAGGTCAACACCCCAACATCTAATAGTAAAACTTACAAGTCTCAGAGACAAGAGAAAATCCTGAAAGCAGCTCGGGAGAAGAGATCTGTAACCTACAATGGTAGAAACATTAAATTGGCAACAGACCTATCCACAGAGACCTGGCAGACCAGAAAGGACTGGCATGATATATTCAGGACACTAAACGAGAAAAATATGCAGCCAAGAATACTATATCCAGCTAGGCTGTCATGGAAAATAGAAGGAGAGATAAAAAACTTCCAGGACAAACAAAAACTAAAAGAATTTGCAAACGCCAAACCAGCCCTACAAGAAATATTGAAAGGGGTCCTCTAAGCAAAGAGAGAGCCCAAAAGTAACATAGACCAGAAAGGAACATGGGCAATATACAGTAACACTCACCTTACAGACAGTACAATGGCACTAAATTCCTATCTTTCAATAGTTACCCTGAATATACATGGGCTAAATGCCCCAATCAAAAGACACAGGCTATCAGATTGGATTAAAAAACAAGACCCATAGATATGCTGGTATATATATTCAATGGAATATTATGCAGCCATCAAAAGGAATGAAATCTTGCCATTTGCAACGATGTAGATGGAACTGGAGGGTATTATGCTGAGCGAAATAAGTCAATCAGAGAAAGACATGTATCATATGACCTCACTGATATGAGGAATTCTTAATCTCAGAAAACAAACTGAGGGTTGCTGGAGTGGTGGGGGGTGGGAGGGATGGCATGGCTGGGTGATAGACACTGCGGAGGGTATGTGCTATGGTCAGCACTGTGAATTGTGTAAGACTGTTGAATCACCTCTGAACTACACTGTACCTCTGAAACAAATAACACATTATATGTTTAAAAAAAGAAGAAGAAGAGAGCAGGAAGGGAAGAATGAAAGGGGGGATATCAGAGGGGGAGACAAACCATGAGAGACTATGGACTCTGAGAAACAAACTGAGGGTTCTAGAGGGGAGGGGAATGCGGGGATGGGTTAGCCTGGTGATGGGTATTAAAGAGGGCATGTACTCCATGGAGCACTGGGTGTTATAGACAAACAATGAATCATGGAACACTACATCAAACACTAATGATGTATTAACATAACATAACATAATTGTTATTTGATTAATATAACATAATTTAAAAAAAGCATTGACAGTGGAGAAAATTTAGAGGTGACCCTTTTTTATTTGAATATCCTAACTGTAATGAGGCAGTGTCTTTTACTGATCCCCACATGCATCATGTGTCTCCTACTCTGAACCAACTGTTTGCCCTTGTTGCTTTTTTTTTTTTTTTTAACCCACTGGATTATCCTCTCTCCAATTCTGTCCAGTGTTTAAAAATCTGTTGAGAATACACAAAATCCACCAACTTGACACCTCCTTACAGTATTTCAACCAATTCTGAAATCTCTTATTTCTGAAATCTTACAGCATAAATTTCCCATATTTTTTAATTGTTTAGATGATGAGAGTCTTTCCCTTGCAACAAACTGTAAAAAGCTTAAAAGCAAGCATTACTTCATGCATGTTTTTATGTCTGACTTGAAAGATGATAGATACTAATTGTTGTTTCAAAAATTTTGACCTAGATTACTGAGAGAGAGCCCTGAAGACAGCACAACGGCTCAGACATCCTAACCTTTTTCACTGCTGCACCTTTGCCCCTTCCCCTACGGGCCCCTGTAAAAACTGGTGTCTGGCTAAGCAGGAATGCACTTGATATTTTCAGGAATCACTGACATTCCAGGACGTGGCAGTGAACTTCACCAGAGAAGAATGGGACCAGCTGTACCCTGCTCAGAAGAACCTTTACCGAGATGTGATGCTGGAGAATTACAGAAATCTGGTAGCACTGGGTAAGGATGTTTTCCCTGTAAAAGTAGAAACCATTCTAAATGGGTTTATTTCCTTAAGTGGTGAAAATTCCCAAATCTTTTGTGAATGTAGTTCAGAATGCTAATCAGTGCTGGAGACAGAGGGCCTTTGTTTCCTGCTGTTTCTCCTCAGGTAATAGGTCTTGACTTTATTGAGTTTGAGATGGGTAGCTTTATTTTGCTGCTTCTGAAGTTTCCCCTTTCCAAATCCAGAGGCCCTAAAGACCAAAAAGGTTGGAAATGAGTTCTGAGAGAAATTTTTGTTCCTTGTACAAACTTCTATGACATACATTTTTTCCATGAATAGGACATCAACTTTATAAGCCAGAGGTGATCTCTCATTTGGAGCAAGAGGAGCAGTGGGTGATGGAAAGAGACAGCCCACTGGATACTCACACAGGTGAGGAGCAAGCATTTGGGTATTTGCTGCTCAGTGATGAGAAGCAGTTGCTTCTGAAATATTCAACTTACTGTGCTCTAAGTCTCTGCCTCTGGGATTTAAAGAATACTGAGGCCTTTTTAAAAATCCAGTTTATGTTTGACTTTGTTCCAAAGTGGAAATGGCCCTCTTATTTTTTTTCCAATTAAACAGATAATATATACTTATTATTATTATTTTTTTAAAGATTTTATTTATTTATTTGAGAGAGAGAGCACATGAGAGGGGGGAGGGTCAGAGGGAGAAGCAGACTCCCTGCCAAGCAGGGAGCCCGATGTGGGACTCGATCCAGGGACTCCAGGATCATGACCTGAGCCGAAGGCAGTCGCTTAACCAACTGAGCCACCCAGGCGCCCCAATATATACTTATTATTAAAAAATTCACACAACACAAAAGTTAGTGTGAAGGTATTAATTTTAACGTTCATAAATACCTTGATGTTGCAAATCTCCACATAGCACTTTCTGTTTTTTATTCATACATCCTCTCAGTATTCTTTAAATCTTTCTTTTCCATATCAAAGGTCTTCTGCCATTTTTACCTGCTTTTCATTTTTTCCTTTTATTATCAAACTCTTTAAACTTGTCTAAAACGCATAGCCTCAATTTTAATTCTCTTGATTACCTTTGTGATATGACCCCTATCCTATCTGTACTATTAAAATTGTTTTCTTGGAGATTACCACTAACTTCCTTCAGTCAAATCCAGTGGCTAAAACAAACAAACGAACAAAAAACAGTTATTGTCTCCTATGATCTTGTTGCATTGGATTGTGTTGACTTTACTTTCTTGAAATTTTCTTCCACTCTGGCTTGTGATGTACACAATTCTTGCTTCTTGTAGTCTGTGTCCAATATCTCTATCTGCTCCTTCACTGCTTTCTCTCCCTTTTTCTTCTTCTAAAAGCATGCATTCCTATAGGCTTGGTGCTCTGCTCTGTAGTACATTGTTTTTAAGTAACCCTTCTATGGTATTTTCCCATTTCTATATTTTTAGCCTCAATATTTCACCCGTATTCTCTTCCCAGATTTTTAGATTATATTTTTGTTTATGAATGTCATGCTATCATTTTAATTAAGTATTTCAAAACCTGGATCTGTTGACGTTATACTCTCTCTTTAAAGCATCCATTAAATATGAGAGTTCTTAACCAAAAAAACAAAACAAAACAAAAACCCCAAAACCTCAGCTCCCTATTGTTGGCATACCACCTACAATGTTCTGCCCGGTTATATTAGTAAGTAGTTGACTTTTAAATGTATGCCAGATACTGAGTTAGGTATTTTACACTCTAGTTTATTAAGCCAGGCTAAGCTACCCCATCTCTATTTAGTTTCCACCCTGATTCTTTGCTCTGGCACCTGGTTTTCCCATTTGGACTTGGTTTTCTGTCATTCAAACTTCAGCTTCTTTTTCAAGGTGGCTCTGACTTGGCTGTCCTTCTTGCTTCTAGTGCTCCAGGTCATCTTGGGTAGGAAACCTGTTCCTCTTTCAGCCTCAATGAACCTGAATTTTGGTCTGACCAGTGCTGGCATCCCATGGGTAGAAGCTAATAAAACATTTTTTCAGGAACCCCTAACACTTTCCCCAACAACAGTAGGTGACGTTATTTCTATGAATCTCCACACCTTGAAACCTGGGAAGTAGAAAACTAAAGGAAGAAAATGAAAAACTCCCTTCCCACGTGAATTGCCAGCATAGGCACTTACAGCGAAGAATTTCCCTTAGGTATGTATTTTTTCCCCACAGGCATATCCATTTGTAAGATCCAAGCTGTCTCCCATTATGTCCCTATCCACAGACCCCCAGCTAGAGAAAATAATTGCTAACTTAAAATTTCCAGAACTTATTTTGTGGATGCCTAAGGCTCTTGGTTCACAGGTCAGCTTGAACAAATGACTTCCTCCTTCCTTGTCAGGAATAAGCAGCCTGGCCATCTCCTCCAAGGAGACAGCTTGCATTTTTGCAATATCCTGTAAGACACAGGAACACAGTGACTGGTTCCTCTTATGAGGATGTGGTAAAACATTTCAGTTGATGGACTCATCTAATTCTGGCTTGCCCTCTGGGGTACTCCTTGCCTTACTGGCATCTACTGATGCCTATTTACCTAGAAACATCTTCCTCACTAAGGTAAGATCCAGAAAATGTCCAGTGGATTTAGCAACAAAGAGGTTAGTAATTATATTAATTAATAAGAGAAATAACAGGGGAGTGATTAGTAGTTACCAGTTAGTACATTGTTGAGTGAACAGGAGATAAAAAGGTAGACCTGGTAAGTATGCAGTATTCTTACAAGATGCTAGAATGAGAAAGGGAGACAATAGAGGATATATGGGAGAATAGAAGGTGGTGTCAAAAGAGGGTTGTTCTAAGCAGGAATGGTTTTAGCTTATTTATAATACTGAAGGGGAGGGGTTAAAAGAGGGAGCAAGTAGAAAATAGATACAAAATACGGAGCAAGGTTCTAGAAGAGATGAAAGTGGGATTAGGAAGGAGATTAGGGTGATTTTGTGTGTAAGTAAGTTTGTTGGTGGCAGATTTGGGGGAGTTCACACATGGTTATTTTCTATTTTCTTGGTAAAGTTGAAGGCAAGGTCCCCTATTGAATGTAAAGGAATGGTGGGGGTAAGTACAGAACTTGAGGAGCACTTGCTCTAGCTTACTAAGGTCAGTGGAAGCTGACCAAAGAGATTACCAAGCAGGATCCAAATGAGATTTTGCCCTGTGGGTTTGTGGTTTCCAGTGTCTATGCATATGCCATTTCTCCTGTTCTACTCGGCACCAGAAAGGCTTTGTAGAGCTCAGGCTGAGGGCCTGTTAGATGGGTGGAACTAAAGGAGGAAAACTGAGAGTTTGTTAATTCAGGTGATTTGACATAGATTCCAAGAAGTGACAAGAAGTAAAGTAAGGCCTGAAGAGGACTGGAAACTAGAAAACAATAGAAGAGTCAAAGCAGGGGAGTTCTAGATGAGATCAGAAAGCAAGTAGAATGTGAATAAGGGCATAGTCTACTCACTGGGCAAGAGAGTGTGACACTGAGTTTGAGATTCTTTATATGGATCTAAGTTCAGAGTATAACTGTATTAATCAGGTAAATAATTGTTGAAGTGGAGTGAAGATAAAAGCACAAACAACTACCAGTTAGAAAATAAGATGGAAGAGAAGAGCCCATTTAATAGTAACTAAAAAAATAAAACACCTAGAAAAAGAAATTTTTTTGCTTTTGATAGAAAATCCTTTATTGTTCAATCAAGACATTTATGGTGTTGGTTGGTTTCTAGTCATCCCTATGCACAAAATAAATATAAGTAACAGAACAATATATCAAATATATCAAACAATATATCAAAACCCACCTGAACTGTCACATGTGACAACTGACTTATATAACGGATATTCATTTGGGGGGAAACAACAAGACTGTAAACTACCTAAATGTTGACCAATAAAGGTTAAATAAATTATGGTATGCACATACATTAATTACTGTATAACCATTATAAAGAATGTGGATGGGACTCCTGGGTAGATCAGTTGGTTGAGCATCTACCTTCGACTTGGGTCATGATCCCAGGGTCCTGGGATTGAGCCCCGCATCAGCTCCCTGCTCAGCGAGGAGCCTGCTTCTCCCCCACCTACTCCCCCTGCTTGTTCTCTCTCTCTCTCTCTTTCTCTCTAAGCAAAATAAATCCAGGCATTTTCCAGGAAAATGGGCACTCTATACTTGAAGCAGAGTCTATTGTTTCTGGGTCACCAGGTCTCAAGGAAGGAAGGCAGCCCCAGTGCTACAAAGGCCCACCTAGAAACAAGCCAGGCAGAACACTTGCCTGCCTTCCCCCAATCTCCACACAGCCAAAATTAATCACCTTGTGACTCACACATACTCCAATGCTTGCTTGAAATAAAGCCCTGCCATCAGGATACAGGGTTCAAATGGAAGAGAAATTCAAAACAATTAGGGAGCAAAATTAAATGTACTAGAAATAAACTTTTAACAAGAAATGTGCAACACCTGCATGAGGAACTTTAAAACACTCTGACAGGGGCACCTGGGTGGCTCAGTTGGTTGAGTGACTGCCTTCAGCTCAGGTCATGATCCTGGAGTCCCAGGATCGAGTCCCACATTGTGTTCCCTGCTCAGTGGGGAGTCTGCTTCTCCCTCTGACTCTACCCCCTTTCGTGAACTCTCTGTCTCTCACTCTCTCTCTCTCAGATAAATAAAATCTTTTAAAAAATGTTTTTAAAAAATTTTTTCAATTTAAAAAAAATTTAAAAAAACACTCTGACAGACACAAAAATAAACTTGAATAAATGGACATACCAAGATGTCAGTGTCCCTAATATACATGTAATGTAATCCCATAAAAAGTGCCTTCAAGATTTTAGAGGAATCTAGAAGCTCATTCTAAAGTTCGTATTGATTATATGTTGGCTAATTGAACATATAAAAAAAAAAAATAGAAAAGAAAAGAGCCAAAACAAAAATAATCTGGAAAACTCTGAAAGGAAAAACAATAAAAGGGATTATTTAAACTAGATAATATACAATAAAATTTTATTAGAACAAGGCAGACCAACTGAACAGAATAGGAAATCCAGAAATAGACCCAGATGTATGCAGGAGTTTAGTATATGATAAAGGCCTTATTTCAAATCAGGAGGGAAAAGGTGGACATCTTAATAAAATGGTATTGAGACAACTGGTATTTAAAAGGTAGACCTTTTTTTTATTTGAGTATAATTGACACACAATGTTACATTAGTTTCAGGTGCACAACATAGTGATTCATCTTTATGCTATGCTCACCACAGGTGTAGTTATAAAAGGTAGACCTTTTAATGAATAGTGAGTAGCCATCTGGAAAGAGATAAAATTGGATCCATAACTTACCCTTAAACCAAGATACTCCAAAGGAATCAGAGACATTAAATGTAAAACATGAAACAATAAGAGACCTGGAAGAAAACACAGGAAAAATCTTTTATAACCTTGAAATAGGGAAATCATTTCCAACTATGATTTAAAATCTAGAAGCCATAAAAGAAAAGTTTATACATTCAAAAGACACAAATCCCCAAACTCTGCATGGTGTAGAATAATAAGCAGGGTAAAAGGCAAGTGGCAGTAAAGGGAAATATTTGCAACTTATATCAAAAGGGCTAAGCTCCCATTAATAAAAGGCTCCTCTAAAGCAGAGGCCAACAGCCCAATAGATACACATAACTGAACAGTTCCTAGATAAAGGAATACAAATATATTTAACATAAGGAAAAATGTTCAGCCTCACTCATAAGAGAAACACAAATTGAAAATACAGGTAACCTTTTCTCACCCATCAGTTTAGCAAAAGTCCAAAAATTTGTCTGCACACAATGTTGATAAGTCTGTAGGGAAGAAAGTACTCTCATACATTGCTAGTATAAGATGAACCACTGGTCAACATAAGGATATCTTAGATTATCAAGGGGGGGGTTCCTTTCCAGATAACCCTGTTTGGTGTTGTAGACTCTTTGTATGAACAAAACATTGTCTACAGTCACATGTTTTTGTAAACAATTTTATGGGAACCCAGCCACACTCACTCTGTCACTCATATTGTGTGTGGCTGCTTTCACACTATGACAGCAGAGTTGAGTAAACAATAAAGCCCATATGACCTACAAAACCTTAAATATTTACTATATGACCCTTTACAGAAAGAGCTTACGGACCTCTGCCAAAACAGTTTTTAATTATTTATAACCACCACTCATTTAAAAATTCATTTTTATTGCAACCCATAAGGTATGTATAATCTATAAAATTGAGACAAAATCTTACCAAACAACATTTATCCTTACTGCTATGTCTGATGAACTTTGATAGTTTCTAATCTTTTTTAGCCTATTTTGTTTCAGTTTTAATTTATTGTTCTACCCACTAAATTAATTTTATAACCCACTATAAATCATGGCACTTTTTTTTTTTAATTAACAAAAGAGAACTAGAAATACTATAGTGCTTTACACATAGAAAGGATAAGCTTGGGGCGCCTGGGTGGTTCAGTTGGTTAAGTGTCTGCCCCTCAGCTTAGGTCATGATCCTGGCGTCCTGGGATTGAGCCCGCATTAGGCTCCCTGCTCGTGCTCTCTCTCTCTCATAAATAAATACATACATACATACAATCTTTAAAAAAAGGATTAACTTTTAAAAATGTTTTCCTCCCTCTTCTCCCTAATTCTTTCCTTTTCTCCCTCCTTCTCTCCCTTCCTCTTTCCTTTCTTGTTTCCTTTCTTCCTACTTGTAAATAATTTCTTTCAAAAGGCATTGGATGAGGCTTAGTTGTCTACTAGATGAGGTATGCAGTAGTGCAGAAGGCCCTTCAAGATGTTGTGGTTGCCCAGTGGCATCACAATATGCTTATACTAAGATCCTATCTAGAAGGTATCCCTTCTTAGATACAAAGGATGTCAGAGGTGTAGGTACCCTAGAAATCTAATTTTATTAAAAGCTCATAACCCCAAGAGTTGATCCAGGGAATATGGAGTCAGTGGGGACAAATAGTAACCACATTGAGACTACAGTAGTCTGTGCAAATCCCCTATTTTTCCTGATGTAGAGCCCTTAAGCTCCTGCAAGAATAATGAAAGCCTGATGAACTCCTGCAATAAGCTAAAGAGTCTTAGTCTGTAGCCACGACCAAGATATTGCACTTCATTTAGAACTTGGGCACAAAATAGAATTCATGTCATTCTCATAGTGTAGACCCAGGAGGCTCTTCTGCTTCCATATCTGAAAACACTTTCTTCCCAAGCAGCACTTTTTCTATAATCTCAGACAACAGAGGGGTAGGCAATATAAGATGTGATAGGGAATTGATTCAGCAGAAGTATAAAGTAGGACTTGGGAGCTTCAGTGAATGGTTGGGTTTCTAGCCAGGTAAGGCCAAACCAGGAAGAAAGTAGACAGTGGATAATGAGAGAACAATACCTCTACATGATCTCATATACATAGCTTGATGAAAGTGTTCATCCTCATCAATGCTCCTTTTAAGGTAAGTTGCAGTCATGTCTGCTAACATGAAGGCTTAGGTTAGGTAAGGAGCTAGAGCAAATGGATTAGAATTTGTTCTTCACAAAAAGCCCAAGATAATCACTGTCTCAGCCTGGCGTCTAGACTCTATACCCTGGCATCCCACTGGGATGTAGATAGGTAGCCCTGAGATTGAAGATCTGATGTGCCTTGAGGGTATCCAGAGTGGGGGAACAGTGCCTGTATAGTCCATGCATTGTCACTCCTGGTGTCAGTAGATGGCAAGTCTGCCAACCAGCAGCACTTTTCCCTTTTCACTCAGAGACAAGACATGGAAAGAAGGCAGTCACCAAAGTAGCCATGAATATGTTGATCAAGCTGCCATGTTTCCAGGAATAAACAAACAAAAGTTTTGGAAGCTAGGTCATAGGGAATGAAGGCCCTGAATTCTACTCCTAGGCAGGAGTTGTGTCTTCAAATTCCAGTCAATTATTCTAAACATTTTAGAGCGAAAGTCCCTAGGCAGACAAAAGAATTTTGGCTGAAAATAAAGTGATCCAGTTGATAATTTGGTTGAAATGGTCAATTGGTTTAAAACAAATCTTTTAAATCACTATTTTTCCACATACAATTTTAGACCAGAGTAAGTTCTGTTTGAGTATCTTTTTGTATATCTTTAAGCATATTGATCTGTTTTCACAATTTTCTTTTTTTTCTTTCTACAATTTCTATTTCATGTTTGGCCAACTAACTATTCTTGCCATGCTGTTTGCGGTAACACTAAGTCCAATGCAACCTCAATGTGAATTGATTAAAAATACTTATATGATACATCCATAAAATTGGATATTTTACAACCTTTAAAAATTATGGAAATGTATTTGTTGACATGGAAATGTGTTCAAGATATGCAGTAATGAAAAAAAAGAAATATACATGGGCACCTGCGTGGCTCAGTCCGTTAAGTTCCGGCCTCTTGATTTTGGCTCAGGTCATGATTTCAGGGTTGTGAGACCAAGGCCCACATGAGGCTCCACACTGAGTGTTTAAGATTCTCTCTGCTCCTCTCCCACTCTCTTTCTCTCTCTTAAAAAAAAAAAAAAAAAAAAAAAAAAACAGTATTATGGTGTAATTCCATTTTATTTTTCCAGGACGATTCTTGGCATAATTATTAATGGTGCGCCCTTTTACTGTCAAGTGTCCTAATTAGGATGATAATCATATGTGCCAACTTCAAGGGAAACACTCTTTCATCTTTTATATGCATTCCTTATGGTTGAAAGACCAAGACTAGTGCATAACTTACATTTGATAAAGCTAAAGCAGTCCAAGGCCCAAGAACAGCTGACTGATGAAATGGCTTTTATAGGTGAGCCAGGAGAAACTGTTGAGTTAGGATCTGTCTGTACTACCCAAGTTTGTCAAGACAAGGTGTCATGAGTGTTTATGAGTCATCCAACATCTTCAATCTTGTCCAATAGGATTCATTGCTATAGGGATGGTCCCAAGGGACTGTCCAAAATAGAGATTTATCTATCCAGATCATGGAAATGAGAGGAGAAAGAGAGGTCTAGCTAAAACCTCCCAAGAGTCATAAGAGTTCCCAAAGTGGGTCCTATTTAATCTTCTGCCAAAGTGAGAATGGGAAGCTACCCAGTCATACAAAAATTGGCCTCTTAATCCCTCCCTCCACATAGCTTCTACCCTCAAACTCTTGTTAGAAGGGAACTAAACAGGGGTACCTGAGTGACTCGGTTGGTTAAGTGTCCAACTGTTGATTTTTGGCTCAGGTCATGATATCAGGGTCATGAGATCAAGCCCAACATCAGGCTCTGTGCTGGGTGTGGAGTCTGCTTAAGATTCTCTCTCTCCCTCTCCCTCTGCTCCTCCCCCCCCCCCGCAAAAAAAGAAAGGGAACTAAACAACAGTGAGTGAAGAAAGAGGTGGCCAGGGAAATAGTTAAAGTGGGAAAAGAAGTGAAAGAGTAGCCAGGGAAAAAACTAGCAGGAAGAGAGTAGGGTGGGGAAAGAGGCAGGTGGTGGGGAGAAAGGAAGAATATGATGCCCAGGGGAAGGAAAAGGGATTAATTTTGGAGTTCTGATTATTAAACAAGTGACTAAACATTTTAACTACTGAATAGAGACTGTGTTTGTAACTTAATGTAACAGTAGGAGTATCTGTTATCTAAGAATTAGGGGGAAACATGGAACCTGCCCAAATCTTCTTCCAGAAGCAGAATAAGAATGCCCCCCATTAAGTTTAAAGAAGTGGTAGGGGACTGAAATGAAGTTTTGTTTTTATCACAATTCATGCTTGTTCAAAATATGATTTACATTTATATTTATATGAACAGAGGAAAAAACTGGCAAGACAGGCTCCAAACTATTAACAATAATGACCTCTAAAGGGTGAAATTCTTCCTTTATGCATTTCCATATTATTTGAATGTGTTATTATAAGCAAGCATTCATTTTATCATTTTAAACAAAAGATTAAAAATAAGAAGAAATACTAAATAAACAAGTAGCTGGCACTACAATAGAATAATCCACAGATGAGATTTATAAGTTGGTGTACTTGGACCTGTCTTCTCCAAATATAGTCTTTCCTCTAATATCTTCCACCTCTAAGCACAGACCTTTCTCTGATATTTCTTATTCTCCTTTCCATTTCCTTTCAACCATGGGTACTCCTGGATGATCTCTTATGATTACCATACAGATTTTAAAATTTCCCCCTGCTCACTGCTTTCTGTCATACTTTTATAGTCTCCCTTGTTACATGGCCATATTTTAAAACTTATGCCACATATGCTTTGTCCACATTATGATCAGTTTCACTTGGTAATTCATTGTGCAACAATCTGCTTTTTCAAAACAGAGAAGATGGCAAAATATTTGTATGTTCTGAATTTCTTTTAGATGGGGAGAGTAGACCTGAAATCAAAAAATCAACTCCAAACCAGAATATTTCTGATGAAAATCAAAATCATGACATGATAATGGAGAGACTAACAGGAGATAGTTTCTGGTACTCCATCTTGGGAGGACTCTGGGATTTTGATTACCAGTTAGAGTTTAACCAAGAAAACCAGCAGAGACATTTAGCACAAGTATCTTTCACCCACAAAAAGATCACACAGGAGAGAAGCCATGACTGTAATAGATTTGGAGAAAACTATAATGTGAACTCAAACCTTATTATGCATCAGAGAATTTCTTCAATTAAAATACCCCTTAATTCTGACACACAAGGAAATAGCATCAAACGTAATTCAGACTTGATTTACTATCAGGGAAACTATGTAAGAAATAATCCTTATGAATATAATGAGTGTGGAAAAATCTTCAATCAACATATTCTTCTTACTAATCATATTCACACTGAAGAGAAACCCAGTGAATGTGGAAAGGTTTTCAGCCACAATTCATCTCTTACTCAACCTCACATAGTCCTTACAGGAGAGAAGCCCTATAAGTGTGATGAATGTGGGAAAAGATTCAGCCAGAGGATACATCTTATTCAACATCAGAGAATTCACACAGGAGAAAAACCTTTTATATGCAATGAATGTGGGAAAGCCTTCCGTCAACATTCATCCTTTACTCAACATCTGAGAATTCATACTGGAGAGAAGCCCTATAAATGTAATCAATGTGGTAAGGCATTTAGCCGTATCACATCCCTTACTGAACATCATAGACTTCATACTGGAGAGAAACCTTATGAATGTAGTTTTTGTGGGAAAGCCTTTAGCCAGAGGACACATCTTAATCAACATGAGAGAACTCATACAGGAGAGAAACCCTATAAATGTAATGAATGTGAGAAAGCCTTTAGCCAGAGTGCACACCTTAACCAACATAGGAAAATCCATACTCGGGAGAAATTATGTGAATATAATAAATGTGAGAAAACCTTAGGTCCCAGTCCTTCACTTACCCAGCAGCATGTAACTCATGCGGGGGGAATCATATGAATATATAAATCTGGGAAAACTTTTGGTCAGATCTTTTCATCCCATTCAATATCAAATTATTCATAGAGAGAAAGCTTATAAATAAACTTTTAATACATAGAAACTAAATAAATTTAGGTCTTAAATTAGCATGTTCCCAGGAGAGATTATAAATAGTGAAAATAATTTATTTTATAAATAAGATTATATTAAGAGTCATGTTCCAAATCTGATATAAAACTTTTTTCAATGACCAGAAATCTTGTAGGCAATAATCTGTAATTATTCACCTGTAACTTTTATGATATAAAGTTTTTAAATTATGTAAACATTGATTAAGGCAATGATGTAGTGTAACTAGTCACATAAACTTGAAATAAACATAAAAGCAATATTTCTCAAACTTCAGTCATTTGTGTGTTTCCTTTACAGTTTTTATCATATTCAGTGTTTACTTAATATTTTTCTTTAAAGAGACTCAGAATTTTTAACCTTGTCCTAGGAAATAGTATTTGTGGAAATTATGAGTTTTATATGCCAATTATATTTGTTCTAAAATAAATAGATATTTATCAAAATATATATAACTTACAAATTAAAAATATCTGTTTGATGTACCACCTAAATCTTCTGTACCTTTATTTGAGAAACAATGTGACAGCTATATGACAGTGTTTATTTGTTTGTTTGTTTGTTTGTTTTAGCAACTTTTGAATTTTCATCAAACAAGTCCTAGGATCACTTTAAGAAGAGTCTTGGAGGAGACTGAGGGTCATAGTGATTAACTTTAAAAAGTGATTCAGAGAAGTCTACTTTTCTATTCTGTTGTTCTAGTTTTAAATTTCCTTGTAGCAAACAGATTGTTTTCACTAAAATGGGTATTCCTGCTATATTTGTGGGTTTGAAGAGAGAGGAGTTTCTTGTTGTTGTTTTGTGTTGCTTTGTTTTTCTATAATGACCAGGGGCTGAGAGTCCCTACACATCCCTGCACAACTGTGAGAGACAGGAAGTAGGAGACTATACCAGATGTTGAGCTGTGGTGCCATAATAAGGATAAGAACCAGGGAAGACTCTAACTGGCTTATATAAACAACTAAGGAAGTATTACTAATTGGCTTAGTAATTCATTTTATTTATTGAAATATATTTATGTAACACGTTTCCAAAAAGAATTTAAGGTGGTTAAATTTTATTTTGGGGAATACTGCCCTGTTTAACAGATAATCACATTTTGATGTTAAAAAGCATTATAAATGTGAACTGTCATAAGCCACAAACAGCTGAACCTTTGGGGCTGCTTCAGTTTCTTGGTTTTCTGTTTTTGTCTCTCCTCAGGCATGGCTTGAAGAAGCCATGAGGCTAAGGTAGGATTGCATTTCCCTTTGCTTCCTCACCTTTTTTGTTCTAACATAGCTCCCAGCTCAAAGACTTTTCTTTTTCCCTCCAAAAAACTAGATTTTATAAAGTTCTTGGGTCAAAGCTGAAATGATTTAAAGACATTTAAGAAACTAAAACACTGATTCGGGGGGAAAGATGGCGGAGGAGTAGGGGACCCTATTTCAACTGGTCCCCGGAATTGAGCTGGATATCTACCAGACCACTCTGAGCACCCACGAAACCAGCCTGAGATGTAAAAAGATCTGGATCTCTACAAACAGAATATCGCAGGCAGTTGGTTTTGAGGTACGAAGCGGGGAGCCCTGATTCCATGGGCAGATATCAGAGCATAAATGGCAGCGGGAGGGTGCCTGGCTGTGGGGATCCTACACCGCTGGTGGGTGACAGCCTCACATGCTGCGGATGGGGCACAGACTCGCAGACTGGTAGTGGTGGGGAAAGGACTTTAGGGCAGCCCCCAGGGTGGAAACCTGGATCAGTGGAGTCGCCCGGTCGAACTGGAAGCAGCTGGCGGTTTTAGAAACACAAAGGGCAGAGATGTGTGGCAGGACTGGGAGCACTGCAGAGGGGTGCACAACCCAGGACACTGCAGTTTATAGCAGCACGGACAGAAACAGAGACAGTGTGGCCTGGAGAGCTCACTGAAGAACAGACTGCGATCTCTCTGCTCTGAGGCAGGGAGTTGGAAATGGTCTCTTCTGCTCTGACTCTCAGAAGAGACGTGGAAAGCCACCAGGGAAAGCCGCCAGAGAACAAAAGCCCCAAAGACTGATTCCCACTGAACCCATCCCCCCCCACAGGGGGGCAGGGCAACACCGCCCAAACAGGGTTACCTGAGTAACAGCACGGCAGGCCCATCCCCCAGAAGACAGGCTGGAAAAACAAGAGGCCAGCAACCCTAAGGCCCCAAGAAAACAGGTGCATCTTGCTAGGGTTTTGGTCAATAATTTGGACTCTATACATTCCCTGAAACACCCATCAACAGAATGACTAGGAGGAGGAGCCCCCAAAATAGAAAAGACTCAGAGATTATGACTTATGCCACAGATTTACAAATGGATGCAGATATAACCAAGATGTCGGAGATGGAATTCAGGCTAGCAATTGTGAAGACAATGGCTAGAATGGAGAAATCAACTAATGGCAACATAGAGTCTCTAAGGGCAGAAATGAAAGGTGAATTGGCAGAACTTAAAAATGCTATCAATGAGATCCAATCCAATCTAACAGCTAGGGTAACTGAGGCAGAAGAGCGAATAAGCGACCTGGAAGACAATAGAGTAGATAAAAAGGGAAAAGAGGAGGCTAGGGAAAAACAACTCAGAATCCATGAAAATAGAATCAGAGAAATAAGTGACACCATGAAGCATTCCAATGTCAGAATCATTGGAATCTCAGAGGGAGTGGAGAGAGAGAGGACTAGAAGATATATTTGAGCAAATCGTAGCTGAGAACTTCCCTAATCTGGGGAATGAAACAAACATTTGAGTCCTAGAGGCAGAGAGGACCCCTCCCAAGATCAAGGAAAACAGGCCAACACCCCATCATATAATAGTAAAACTTGCAAATCTTAGAACCAAGGAAACCATCTTAAGGGCAGTTAGGGGGAAGAGATTCCTTATGTACAGAGGGAGGAACATCAGAATAATGTCAGACCTATCCACAGAGACCTGGCAAGCCAGAAAAGTCTGGCAAGACATATTCAGGGTACTAAATGAGAAGAACATGCAGCCAAGAATGCTTTATCCGGCAAGGCTTTCATTTAGAATGGATGGAGAGATGCAGAGCTTCCACGACCAGCAGAAACTGAAAGAATATGTGACCACTAAGCTGGCCCTGCAAGAAATATTAAGGGGGGTTCTATAAAAGGAGAAAGACCCCAAGAGTGACGTACAACAGAAATTTACAGGAACAATCTATAGAAACAATGTCTTCACAGGCACCATGATGACAATTAATTCATATCTTTCAATAATCACTCTCAACGTGAATGGCCTAAACGCTTCCATAAAACGACACGGGGTTGCAGATTGGATAAAAAGACAGGACCCATCCATATGCTGTCTACAAAGGACTCATTTTGAACCTAAAGATACATCCAGACTGAAAGTGAAGGGATGGAGATCCATCTTCCACGCCAGCGGACCTCAAAAGAAAGCTGGGGTAGCAATTCTTGTATCAGACAAATTAGATTTTAAACTAAAGTCTGTAATAAGAGACACAGAAGGACACTATATCATTCTTAAAGGGTCTATCCAACAAGAAGATCTAACAATTGTAAATATCTATGCCCCCAATGTGGGAGCAGCCATCTACATAAGCCAACTGTTAACCAAAATAAAGAGTCAGGGCACCTGGGTGGCTCAGTCCTTAGGTGTCTGCCTTCGGCTCAGGTCATGATTCCAGGGTCCTGGGATCGAGTCCCACATCGGGCTCCCTGTTCGGCGGGAAGCCTGCTTGTCCCTCTCCCACCCGCCCTACTTGTGTCCCCTCTCTCGCTGTGTCTTTCTGTGAAATAAATAAATAAATAAATCTCAAAATAAAGAGTCATATTGATAACAATACGTTAATTGTAGGAGACCTCAATACTCCACTCTCAGCAATGGACAGATCATCTAAGCAAAAAATCAACAAGGAAACAAGAGCTTTGAATGATATATTGGACCATATGGACCCATAGATATTTACAGAACATTCCACCCTAAAACAACAGAATACTCATTCTTCTTGAGTGCACATGGAACTTTCTCCAGAATAGACCATGTACTGGGTCACAAATCAGGTCTCAACCGATACCAACAGATTGAGATTATTCCCTGCATATTCTCAGACCACAATGCTTTAAAACTGGAACTCAATCACAAGAAAAAATTTGGAAGAAATTCAAACACTTGGAAGCTAAAGACCACTCTGCTCAAGAATGTTTGGGTCAACTGGGAAATCAAAGAAGAACTTCAACAATTCATGGAAATCAATGAGAACAAAAACACATCAGTCCAAAACCTATGGGATACTGCAAAGGCGGTCCTAAGGGGGAAATACATAGCCATCCAAGCCTCACTCAAAAAAATAGAAAAATCCCAAATTCACCAACTAACTCTACACCTTAAAGAACTAGAGAAAAAGCAACAAACGATGCCTAAGCCACGCATTAGAAGAGAAATAATTAAAATTAGAGCAGAAATCAATGAATAAGAAACCAGAAACACAGTAGATCAGATCAATGAAACTAGAAGTTGGTTCTTTGAAAGAATTGTAACATCGATAAACCACTGGCCAGACTTATCCCAAAGAAAAGAGAAAGGACCCAAATTAATAAAATTACGAATGAAAGGGGAGAGATCACAACTAACACCAAGGAAATAGAAACAATTATTAGAAATTATTATCAACAACTATATGCCAATAAACTGAGCAATCTGGATGAAATGGAGGCCTTCCTGGAAACCTATAAGCTGCCAAGACTGAAACAGGAAGCAATTGACAACCTGAATAGGCCAATAACCAGTAACGAGATTGAAGCAGTGATCAAAAACCTCACAAAAAACAAGAGTCCAGGGCCTGATGGATTCCCTTGGGAATTCTACCAAACATTCAAAGAAGAAATAATACCTATTCTCCTGAAGCTGTTTCAAAAAATAGAAACAGAAGGGTAGCTTCCAGACTCATTCTATGAGGCCAGCATTACCTTAATCCCCAAACCAGGCAAAGACCCTATCAAAAAGGATAATTTCAGACCAATATCCCTGATGAATATGGATTCCAAAATCCTCAACAAAATCCTAGCTAATAGGATCCAACAATACATTAAAAAGATCATCCACCACGACCAAGTGGGATTTATCCCCAGGATGCAAGCATGGTTCAACATTCGCAAATCAATCAGTGTGATAGAACACATTAATAAGAGGAGGGAAAAGAACCATATGGTCCTCTCAATTGATGAAGAAAAAGCATTTGACAAAATACAACATCCTTTCCTGATTAAAACTCTTCAGAGTATAGGG